GTATATTAGGAATTGCAATGTGTGCACCCGTAGCAAGGCATCACACAATGCACCTTATGGAGTACTTCGCCCCATGCCAATTCCCGATGGACCCTGGACAGATGTCTCGATGGACTTTGTAACTGATCTTCCTGAGAGTGATGGGTATAATGCGATTTTGGTCGTGGTGGATAGACTAACCAAAATGCGGCATCTGATACCAACGACAAAGGAGGCGGACTCACAGGAAGTAGCAAGGCTATATATTGATAACGTCTGGAAGCTACATGGATTACCCGACACTATGGTATCCGATCGAGGAACACAGTTCGTCGCGGAATTCTGGAGGTCCCTTTGTGATCGATTGGAAATCTCGCCAAAGTTCTCTACTGCATTCCACCCCCAAACAGATGGACAGACAGAAAGAATTAATGCCATAATGGAACAATACCTCCGAAGCTATGTTTCCTATCAACAAGATGACTGGGTCCGATGGCTACCGATGGCTGAATTTGCAACCAACAACCACGTTTCCGAAACAACAAAAGTTTCCCCCTTTTATGCTAATTCGGGAAGGAATCCTAGGATAACATTTGGGCCTTTGGAACATGGTCGAACGACGGCGGAGGATCAAGCGAACCGTATTGCAAGGGAAATGAAGGATGTGGTGGACTTCCTAAGAGAAGAAATGTTCCGGGCGCAAAGGATACAAGAAGAATCAGCCAATAGGAATCGAACTCCAGCTCCTCGATATTATTTAGGAGATAAGGTTTTTCTCTCGACCCGTCATATTCTAACAAAGCGACCCTCTAAGAAATTCGATTGGAAACGTATTGGACCTTATAGCGTTAAACGAATCGTTAATCCCTATGCTTACGAGTTGGAACTTCCCCGGTCGATGAAAATTCATCCAGTATTTCATGTTTCGTTATTGTCACCTGAAGCGAATGATCCTTTACCAGGACAACAACGATTACCACCACCTCCGGTTGAAATCGAAGGGGAGGAAGAATGGGAAGTCGAAGATATTTTGGATTCGAGGAAACGAAGAGGAAGATTTGAATATTTGGTACGATATATGGGATATGACGAAGCCTCCTGGCAACCGCTATCGGACCTTGAACATTCACCTGAAATTATTAGACGATTCCATAAGCGTTATCCAGAGAAGCCTAAGCCTACCAGGAGGTAGGCCTTAGAGGGGGGCGTGGTCTGTAATGGCAGCTATGTATTTCGGCTAGGTGATGAACTGGGATGAGGGAAGGAGGTATCGTGCAGTGGAATTAGGATTTGTAATGGGGATTTCTGTTATGTTCTTTGGGTTTCTGTTACGCGAAGGTATTAGTCATTGTTGGATTATGGATGGATATATAAGGGGGCGTTGTCTCGTGCTTTTGTCTGTTTTCCTTCTTCTCTTTCTTCCTTACGCAACCTCTGTATTTATTCCACGAATACTATTCTCTGTCCGCACTACGTCATAGGGCTCCAACCGGTTTATCATACCAGGCAGAGCCACCCCATAGTCCATAGTCAAAGCATACCTTTACATCTACGTTCACGTCTACGTCACTACCTAGGTTGTATTCCTTGGCACCACAGTCTATTGCCTACAGTCCCCGTGATACAAACCATCATCGGCGAAATCAGAGTCTTAACAATATAAATCGTTGATACGCGAGTTACAACTTTATTGGACTATACTTTTGGAAATACTTTATTCTATTGTGACTTCGAACTCTACCTGAACTATTACGTCGAAGACGGTCGAACATCACACGCCAACTCTAGTGAATCTTTGTTGATAACGTAGCTCGCGGGGCCCGTATCGGATCAAGGAGAATCATACTCGACGTTGACTGAAGAGACCTCGGAGACTTCTACCTTTGTAGCTGTTAGCCGAACTCTGAGCTCTGCGTAGTGTACTCTTGTGGTCTGGTACGCATCCCTCACAGTATATTGTTACTCACAAGTTCACTTGGAGTAACGAAGTCACCTCAAAAAAGAAGAACTATCATCATTATCCCTTATTACAATGGCTGGCCAAAGGGATTATTTCGTAGACACCTCGGCCGTAACAGACGAGGCCGCAGAGGACGCTATGGTACTATCTGAGGCTGTTAGCCCCGATCCCCTACTCCAGGGAGGACCCTCTACACACACTAGGTCAACGAGTAAACGCTCTACTCAAGCCCAGTTTACGAGGTCCATGCAGGAGTTTTTGGACACCCATGAGGCACAAATGAGGTATCTTGGTATAGCTGGACAGGCCGTTTGGCAGCAGCTACAAAACCTCCAGGAACAAGTGCAGGGGACTGGGCAGATTCTGGATAAGAAAGCACGGCAAGAAGCCATCGCCCAGAAGCAACATCTCGAATCGCTCTTTGAGCTCGTCGAAAATGTTCGACAAATGCAAGAAACTGCACGAGCCGCCGACCACGAGGTTCTGGACCGTAACCATCGAATAACCCAGGACCAACTGTTGGAGGCGGAACGACAGCTGAGAGTTGTAAGAGAAGAGCGAGAGCAGGAGAAAAGGGAACAGCGGGAACTGTTTGCACAATTCAAGCAGTCCGATGACGTGAGAAACCAACGAATAGCCGAAATGGAGGAACGTCTACGACAACATTTGTCGGTAGCACCCTCCATGGTGAGTATTCCCCTGGACCCTAATGCACCCGAAACGGTTCCTGTTGGCAATGGTAAGAAACCCGAAAATGCTGGTCCAGTAGGAGGAAATGCTGGTCCAGTAGGAGGAAATAGAGGCAGGCAACCACAGGATGCCGGCCCAGTGCATGGCAATAGTGGCAGAGGACCGGTGGGAGCTGCTCCAGTTGGGGGGAATGGTGGGAATCAACCTCCACAAAAACCACCAAGAGGAAACGTTGGGGGAGATCCAGAACCTTCCGACGACGATGACGACGATAACAGTGAATGGTCGCACGGTCGGAAGAATTGGAGAATGAACCGAGGCGGAAACCGGAATTCGGCGCCGCCTGAAGACGACGATATGGTAGATTCGCTCGCTAAAATACCCTTTGAGTTCGATAATGCCAGGAAGCATAACCTGCGGCATTGGCTCATGGAATGCGAGATCTACTTCGAGCAGAAGCCCAAAAAGTTCCGAACGGACAGGAACAAGGTACTGTTCGCTGGAACGTATACGTGTGGGTTGGCAAAGGAATGGTTCATGGAATACATCGAGACCAAGATGCTAGGACCGGCAGCCGCGGACTACGCTACTTGGACTCGGTTCCGTCAGGAGATCAGGAAACGCTTCTTAAGCACTCAGGAGGCTATGGAGAATGCGATGAAGCTGCAGCAGTTTAAGTACTCTGCTAACATCGGGGACTACCTGACGAGAATGGAGATCATGAACCAGCATGCTCAGATGAAAGGAGCATCCTATCGCGCCGCCCTGCTACAAGGGCTACCAAATGAAATCCGGGAGCGCCACTCACGTTTCGATCCAACCGAGGACGACTCCGAGTACATCCAACAGTTGGAACGAGCCGGCAAGGCTCATGAGGCTTATCAGGAGCAGATGAAGATGTTGGGGAAAGCAGAGTCGAGAGGAAGGGAATCGAATAATGGTGGGAACTCGCGGCAGAAGGAGAAGGGGTTTAAGATCAAGGGAAGGGCTCAGACCGAGGAGAAGGAAAAAGGGCAAGATAAGAAGAGCACCAGCAAGAACAAGTCGGGGAACAAGCCAATATACCACGACTACGACGAAGCCACCAAAGGAGTTCCACAGCCGGTCCGAGAACAGCGAAAGACCGATGGAGCCTGTGTGCGATGTGGCCGAAACGGTCATCTTTGGAAATGGTGTCGTTCAGATGCTAATAGTAGTGCATCTATCTCCTCTTTCTCCCGAAAGCGTACCCGCGATGACGATGGCGACCACGATATGGAACCACCGGAACCCCAACCTCAAAGAAAGCGAATGAGGCACCGTGCTAGGAAGCCGGCTGCTACGGCTGCGGCAGAGTACACTAGTGGGCAAGCGTTTGTGCGAGAACGCGGATCGGAATCTGAGATGGATTTCGACGAGGATTTTTAAAAGGGGACTCTGATGAGTCAGGTCAGGAGTATCCCCAGATTGCTATGTTATCACTGACGGAAAACAACAAAAAAAATATGAAAAGAAAAAGGCAGGAAGGGAGAGCGTCCCAACCGAAGAAAAAACAGAAGATTTTGGAGGAACCTATTCATGGTCCTCGACCTATCGTTAATCAGTTCCTTTGTTTTGCGGAAAAATGTTTACCTTGTAAGGTGTTGTTGGATACTGGTGCAACTGGTCCTGTTTTGTCTGCTGTTTTTGTTGATAGTTTTGAGGTCCCGAAGGTGAAACGAGACATCCCGGCCCGGGTATTTGGATTTACGGGAGAAGTTATGAAGGACACGGGACATGCCTTTACACAACCATTAATTATAATGTCAAGGGGGCATCAAACACAGTTATCATTCGAGATCGCCCCTCTCCCACTTGGCATCGATGCAATATTACCAAACTGGTGGTTGAAAGAACACAAGCCGGTTATAGGGACAAATGGGGAAGTTTCCTACGATGGTGAGAACTGCAAGAGTCGATGCTTCACTGACAAGGAACCTCAAATAGAGATGGACGAGCGTGTACTGAACGATTCGGAGGCCCAATTCATCGGTAGCATCTGTCTATTGGAAGATGAATCGGTCAACCTCCGCGAAACTCTTCCCTCTTGGCTCCATGGGTTCCTTAAAGTCTTCTTACCGTCAGAAGCAGACAAGTTACCACCGCATCGATCCTACGACCATGCGATAGATCTCGAACCAGGAAAGCAGCCACCATGGGGACCCGTTTACTCCCTATCCGAAGTCGAACTGAAAGTGCTTCGGGAATACCTGGACAAAATGTTGCGATTGGGAAAGATTAGGCCGAGCAAATCCCCAGCAGGAGCCCCAATCCTATTTGTGAAGAAGAAGGACGGTAGTCTGTGACTTTGCGTCGACTACCGTGGACTTAACCGCGTGTCCATCAAGAACAGGTATCCGTTACCACTTATGGACGAACTACGAGATCGAGTGGCAGGCGCGGTTATCTTCTCGAAGATTGACCTGAAGGAAGGTTACAACCTCATCAGGATCAAAGACGGCGACGAGTGGAAGACAGCATTCCGTACGCGGTACGGGCATTTTGAGTACCTCGTCATGCCTTTTGGGCTGGCAAATGCGCCGGCGACCTTCCAGAATATGATGAATGATGCGCTGAGGGAATTCCTGGATCAAGGTGTAGTAGTATACCTTGATGATATCCTAATATATAGCAAGTCTCGAGAGGAACACAGGGAGCTGGTCGGCAAAGTACTTAGTAGGCTACAAGAATACAACCTAGTTGCCAACCCGAAGAAATCGTTCTTCGAGCTCACCGAAATCGAGTTCCTCGGATACATCCTTGCCCCAGCAGGCGTCACCATGGCACTGGATAAGGTTATGTCTGTTACGAATTGGCAAGCCCCGCGCAGCGTTAAGGAAGTACAAATCTTCATGGGCTTTGCCAACTTCTACAGAAGGTTTATCCACAATTTCTCCGGGGTCTGTAAACCCATTACCGATTGTCTCAGGGGTGATGCTAAGAACTTTGTCTGGTCTATGACGGCCCAAGCAGCCTTCGAAAAACTCAAAACCCTGTTTACGTCTGCGCCGATCTTGGTACACTTCTCTCCAGATCGCCAGACTATCGTGGAAACGGACGCAAGTGATTTTGGTATCGCCGCAATTCTATCCCAGGTTATTGACGGAAAGACTCACCCTGTTGCCTTTTATTCTCGAAAGCTTAACCCAGCGGAACTCAACTACGACGTCTGGGATAAGGAGATGCTAGGAATTGTGTCGGCCTTCAAGCAATGGCGTCACTACCTCGAAGGACCTAGCCGAACGGTTCTCGTCTACACAGATCATAAGAACTTGGAATATTTTTCAACAACCAAGGTTCTTAACCGACGACAGGCAAGGTGGACTGAGTCTTTAGCTGAATTTGATTTCAAGATTATTTACCGCCCGGGAACAAAAATGGGAAGGCAGATGCACTATCGCAACGGCTGGAGTACCGTCCTGAAGGGGGAGGCACGCTTGGGAAACAGTCGATAGACAGGTTCTTTAAGCCCGGACAGTTGGCGGAGGAAGAGTTTGTGGTATCAGCGGTGTCGCTTGCCTCCAAGGGGGTGATTGACTGGTCTAAGAATTTTCTGGATCATGTCAGGCAGGCGGCATCGGGAGATCCGATGTGAGGGATGCGTACCAGACCACAAGAGTACACTACGCAGAGCTCAGAGTTCGGCTAACAGCTACAAAGGTAGAAGTCTCCAAGGTCTCTTCAGTCAACGTCGAGTATGATTCTCCTTGATCCGATACGGGCCCCGCGAGCTACGTTATCAACAAAGATTCACTAGAGTTAGCGTGTGATGTTCGACCGTCTTCGACGTAATAGTTCAGGTAGAGTTCGAAGTCACAATAGAGTAAAGTATTTCAGAAAGTATAAATAAAGTTGTAACTCGCGTATCAACGATTTATATTGTTAAGACTCTGATTTCGCCGATGATGGTTTGGCTAGTCAGTGAATGACACAGTATTTATATCCCTCGCTTATGTCTCGAGGACCCAATCTACTAATAGTACAGAATACACTCGGGGCCTACCCGAGACCCTGAAAAACAACCAAGAACATTTAACTCCTAAATCCGTTACCCAAACTCCTAAACCCGCAGAAACCCCTCATCCTAATTACCCACTCTAATGCACGTTTCCCTGTCGATGTTTCTTCTCCATCGGCCGTCTGGTGGGTAATCGTCAGCGTCGGCTATTCGGAGGTCTCGGACGGCAAGGCTACCTACTCAGGCCTCTTCCCACATCGCTTTCCCACATAGCAGAGTCCTCTCATGCCCATAGGTACCGCCGATAGGTACTCGGTCGGCTGGCAGCTTGCGCCGATTCACTCCGGGTGGTCCGATCTTCGATCCGATTGATTCCAGCTGTCCCTCATATATCCACCGGTACCAAAACACACCCCTCCGGCGGTTTGACGCTCCGGGGGTTATTATTGGGGTCGAAAACGTGTTTTTTAACTAGGAAAACCGCAACTCCGCATTTGGTCGCATATTGATCGCACCGTACCTCGTAGGTGCGAACCGGAGTTGATAGTGGTGTTACTATTAGTATTAAAGGGTATAAGGGTATCTACTAGCCTTTCTCTCACTCCGTAAATACTTGGCATGCCCGTAACAGCTTACCCCCCTTCCAGGGTGTCACGTCTCGGGACATCTTCTGACAGACTATGGTTCCAGTAAACCTGCTCCACATATCACCCGTGGTGTCTGTGGAGGGGAAGGACTTAGCCCCGTGGGGTACCTCTATAGTCTCAGGCGTTGGTCCTTCACGGCCTTGGGGTTCCTTCGATGGAAGTCGCGAACAAGGTCAAGTACCTCCTCGTTCATAGCGTCCATGACTTGGTACGTGCAGTCACTCATCGAATAGCCCCGCCATTTCACCAGATATTCCACTAATCCTCTTCTACTCTTCCGACTTCCCACTATACTTTCCACTTCGTACAAAACCTCTCCTTCCTTATCGACCTCTTCTGGAGTTGGGGGACGTTGTTCACGGCCTGGGATACTGCTCTGTCGGTAACGTTCCAAAAGTTCAATATGGAACACGTTATGGATTTTGATTTGTGGTGGCAGTTCCAATTCACAGGCTCGTTTTCCCGCTAGTCGGATGATCTTGAACGGACCGAGTTTCTTATGATCGAGCTTTTTGGTAGAGCGACGTGTCTTGATATTGGACGCATTGAGCATGACCATGTCGCCTATCTTAAAGTTCGGCGGTTCGTTTCTTCTCCGATCATAGTATTTCCCCATCTTCTCCCTGGTGTCTGTTAAGCGAGCGAGAGCAGAATCATGAACTCCTCGGATGAAGTGAGCGTACAGGTCACTGGTTGGGTTGACCACTTCGGCTTCCGTCGGCCAGTTGGTTCTTGGGTTGTAACCGTAATTGGTATAGAACGGAGATTGACCCGTGGCGGTGGTAACCGAGTTGTTATAAGCATACTCCGCCAACGGGAGTAGCTCTGCCCAATCATCTTGCTCGTAGTTGCAGAACGCTCGCAGGTAGTGTTCGAGGGTTTGGTTGACCCGCTCTGTTTGCCCATCGGTCTGAGGGTGGAAAGCCGTACTCATTCTTATCCTTACATCCAATAATTCCATGAGGGATGCCCAAAAGCTTGAAGTAAACTTGGCGTCCCTGTCGGAAACTATATCAAGAGGCAGCCCATGTAGTCGCCAGATTTGACCGAGGAATATCTTCGCTAAATCCTGCGCGGTCGTTTCTGCTACTAGGGGGATGAAGTGCGACATCTTCGAGAACCTATCGACTACTACCCAGATTTGGTTATATCCCTTTGATTCCGGTAACTGCACGACGAAGTCCATTGATATCGATTGCCAGACAGAATGTGGCGTGGACAGTGGTAGAAGCGCACCGTATTTTTTATGGCGGCTGGGTTTGTTGCGCTGGCACTCGTCACATGACCGAACGTAGTCATCAATCCACTCGTTCATTTTTGGCCAATAGAAGTTACGCGTGATGAGTTCCAGTGTCTTGTCTTGTCCAAAGTGTCCTGCCACTTTCGAGTCGTGTTCTGCCTGTGCGATTCGGATCTTGATACGGTCGTCTGCCGGAATGTAGAGTCGGTTCTTATAGAAGAGTAGCCCGTCTTTCTCGGCAATATCCTTCAATTCCCCCAGCTTCTCCCCTTGCTCAACTCTCTCTCTCATTCCTACCCATATCGGGTCTCCCGATGCCGCCTGCCTGACATGATCCAGAAAATTCTTAGACCAGTCGATCACTCCCTTGGAGGCAAGCGACACCGCTGATACCACAAACTCTTCCTCCGCCAACTGCCCGGGCTTAAAGAACCTGTCTATCGGCTGTTTCCCAAGCGTGCCTCCCCCTTCAGGACGGTACTCCGGCCGTCGCGATAGTGCATCTGCCTTCCCATTTTTGGTTCCTGGGCGGTAAATAATCTTGAAGTCAAATTCCGCCAAAGATTCAGCCCACCTTGCCTGTCGTCGGTTAAGAACCTTAGTTGTAGAGAAGTACTCTAAGTTCTTATGATCCGTATAGACGAGAACCGTTTTGCTAGGTCCTTCGAGGTAGTGACGCCATTGCTTAAAGGCCGACACAATTCCTAGCATCTCCTTATCCCAGACGTCGTAGTTGAGTTCCGCTGGGTTAAGTTTTCGAGAATAAAAGGCAACAGGGTGAGTCTTTCCGTCAATAACCTGGGATAAAATTGCGGCAATAGCAAAATCACTTGCGTCCGTTTCCACGATAGTCTGGCGATCTGGAGAGAAGTGTACCAAGATCGGCGCAGACGTAAATAGGGTTTTGAGTTTTTCGAAGGCTGCTTGGGCCGTCATAGACCAGACAAAGTTCTTAGCATCACCCCTGAGACAATCGGTAATGGGTTTACAGACCCCGGAGAAATTGTGGATAAACCTTCTGTAGAAGTTGGCAAAGCCCATGAAGATCTGTACTTCCTTAACGCTGCGCGGGGCTTGCCAATTCGTAACAGACATGACCTTATCCAGTGCCATGGTGACGCCTGCTGGGGCAAGGATGTATCCGAGGAACTCAATTTCGGTGAGCTCGAAGAACGATTTCTTCGGGTTGGCGACCAGGTTGTATTCTTGCAGTCTGCTAAGTACTTTGGCAACCAGCTCCCTGTGTTCCTCTCGAGACTTGCTATATATTAGGATATCATCAAGGTATACTACTACCCCTTGATCCAAAAATTCCCTCAGCGCATCATTCATCATGTTCTGGAAGGTCGCCGGCGCATTTGCCAGCCCAAAAGGCATGACGAGGTACTCAAAATGCCCGTACCGCGTACGAAAGGCTGTCTTCCACTCGTCGCCGTCTTTGATCCTGATGAGGTTATAACCTTCCTTCAGGTCAATCTTCGAGAAGATAACCGCGCCTGCCACTCGATCTCGCAGCTCGTCCATAAGCGGTAACGGATACCTGTTCTTGATGGACACACGGTTAAGTCCACGGTAGTCAACGCAAAGTCGCAGACTACCGTCCTTCTTCTTCACAAATAGAATTGGGGCTCCTGCTGGGGATTTGCTCGGCCTAATCTTTCCCAATCGCAACATTTTGTCCAGGTACTCCCGAAGCACCTTCAGCTCGACTTCGGATAGGGAGTAAACGGGTCCCCATGGTGGCTGTTTACCTGGCTCAAGATCTATCGCATGGTCGTAGGATCGATGCGGTGGTAGTTTGTCTGCTTCCGATGGTAGAAAGACTTTAAGGAATCCATGGAGCCAAGAGGGAAGAGTCTCGCGGAGGTTGACCGATTCATCTTCCAAAAGGCAAATACTACCGATGAATTGGGCCTCCGGATCGTCCAATACACCCTCGTCCATTTCTATTTGAGGTTCCTTGTCAGTGAAGCATCGATTCTTACAGTTCTCGCCATCGTAGGAGACTTCTCCATTTGCCCCTATAACCGGCTTATGTTCTTTCAACCACCAGTTCGGTAATATTGCATCGATGCCAAGTGGGAGAGGGGCGATTTCGAATGATAACTGTGTTTGATGCCCCCTTGACATTATAATTAATGGTTGTGTAAAGGCGTGTCCCGTGCCCTTCATAATTTCTCCCGTAAATCCAAATACCCGGGCCGGGACGTCTCGTTTCACCTTCGGGACCTCAAAACTATCAACAAAAACAGCAGACAAAACAGGACCAGTTGCACCAGTATCCAACAACACCTTACAAGGTAAACATTTTTTCGCAAAACAAAGGAACTGATTAACGATAGGTCGAGGACCATGAATTGGTTCCTCCAAAATTTTCTGTTTTTTCTCCGGTTGGGACGCTCTCCCTTCCTGCCTTTTTCTTTTCATATTTTTTTTGTTGTTTTCCGTCAGTGATAACATAGCAATCTGGGGATACTCCTGACCTGACTCATCAGAGTCCCCTTTTAAAAATCCTCGTCGAAATCCATCTCAGATTCCGATCCGCGTTCTCGCACAAACGCTTGCCCACTGGTATACTCTGCAGCAGCCGTCGCAGCCGGCTTCTTAGCACGGTGCCTCATTCGCTTTCTCTGAGGTTGGGGTTCCGGTGGTTCCATATCGTGGTCGCCATCGTCATCGCGGGTACGCTTTCGGGAGAAAGAGGAGATAGATGCACTGCTGTTAGCATCTGAACGACACCACTTCCAAAGATGACCCTTTCGGCCACATCGTACACAGGCTCCATCGGTCTTTCGCTGTTCTCGGACCGGCTGTGGAACTCCTTTGGTGGCTTCATCGTAGTCGTGGTATATTGGCTTATTCCCCGACTTGTTCTTGCTGGTGCTCTTCTTATCTTGTCCTTTTTCTTTCTCCTCAGTCTGAGCCCTCCCCTTAATCTTAAACCCCTTCTCCTTTTGCCGCGAGTTCCCACCATTATTCGGCTCCCTTCCTTTTGACTCCGCTTTCCCCAACATCTTCATCTGCTCTTGATAAGCCTCATGAGCCTTGCCGGCTCGTTCCAACTGTTGGATGTACTCGGAGTCGTCCTCGGTTGGATCGAAGCGTGAGTGGCGCTCTCGGATTTCATTTGGTAGCCCTTGGAGCAGGGCGGCGCGATAGGATGCTCCTTTCATCTGAGCATGCTGGTTCATGATCTCCATTCTCGTCAGGTAGTCCCCGATGTTAGCAGAGTACTTAAACTGCTGCATTTTCATCGCGTTTTCCATAGCCTCCTGAGTGCTTAAGAAGCGTTTCCTAATCTCCTGACGGAACCGAGTCCAAGTAGCGTAGTCGGCAGCTGCCGGACCTAGCATCTTGGTCTCGATATACTCCATAAACCATTCCTTTGCCAACCCACACGTATACGTTCCAGCGAACAGCACCTTATTTCTGTCCGTTCGGAACTTCTTGGGCTTCTGCTCGAAGTAGATCTCGCACTCCATGAGCCAATGCCGCAGGTTATGCTTCCTGGCATTATCGAACTCAAAGGGTATTTTGGCGAGCGAATCTACCATATCATCGTTTTCAGGCGGCGCCGAATTCCGGTTTCCGCCTCGGTTCGTTCTCCAATTCTTCCGACCGTGCGACCATTCACTGTTATCGTCGTCATCGTCGTCGGAAGGTTCTGGATCTCCCCCAACGTTTCCTCTTGGTGGGTTCTGGGGAGGTTGATTTCCACCATTCCCGCCGACGGGGGCAGCTCCCACCGGTTTCTTGCCACTATTTCCCTGCACTGGGCCGGCATCCTCTGGTTGCCTGCCTCCGTTTCCTCCTACGGGACCAGCATTTCCTCCTACTGGGCCAGCGTTTTCGGGGTTCTTGCCATTACCAACAGGAACCGTTTGGGGTGCAGTAGGGTCCAGGGGAATGCTTACCATGGAGGGTGCTACCGACATATGTTGTCGTAGGCGTTCCTCCATTTCGGCTATTCGTTGGTTTCTTACATCATCAGACTGCTTGAATTGTGCCAACAGTTCCCGCTGTTCCCTTTTTTCCTGCTCTCGCTCTTCTCTTGCAAGTCTCAGCTGCCGTTCCGCCTCCAACAGTTGGTTCTGGGTAATTCGATGGTTACGGTCCAGGACCTCGTGGTCGGCGGCTCGTGCTGCTTCGTGTTCTTGTTGGACATGGGAGACGAGCTCAAAGAGCGATTCGAGATGTTGCTTCTGGGCGATAGCTTCTTGCCGTACTTTCTTATCCAGAACCTGCCCACTCCCCTGCACTTGTTCCTGGAGGTTTTGTAGCTGCTGCCAAACGGCCTGTCCAGCTGCACCAAGATACCTCATTTGTGCCGCATGGGTATCCAAAAACTCCTGCATGGACCTCGTAAACTGGGCTTGAGCAGAGTTTCTCTTCGTCGACCTAGTGTGTGTAGAGGGTCCTCCCTGGAGTAGGGGATCTGGGCTAGCAGCCCTTGATATTACCATAGAATCTTCTCCTCCGGCCTCCTCAGTTACGGCCGAGGTATCTATGAAGTAATTATCCCCTCGAAATGCCATTGTGGTAAGGGATAATGGTGATAGTTCTTCTTTTTGAGGTGACTTCGTTACTCCAAGTGAACTTGTGAGTAACAATATACTGTGAGGGATGCGTACCAGACCACAAGAGTACACTACGCAGAGCTCAGAGTTCGGCTAACAGCTACAAAGGTAGAAGTCTCCAAGGTCTCTTCAGTCAACGTCGAGTATGATTCTCCTTGATCCGATACGGGCCCCGCGAGCTACGTTATCAACAAAGATTCACTAGAGTTAGCGTGTGATGTTCGACCGTCTTCGACGTAATAGTTCAGGTAGAGTTCGAAGTCACAATAGAGTAAAGTATTTCAGAAAGTATAAATAAAGTTGTAACTCGCGTATCAACGATTTATATTGTTAAGACTCTGATTTCGCCGATGATGGTTTGGCTAGTCAGTGAATGACACAGTATTTATATCCCTCGCTTATGTCTCGAGGACCCAATCTACTAATAGTACAGAATACACTCGGGGCCTACCCGAGACCCTGAAAAACAACCAAGAACATTTAACTCCTAAATCCGTTACCCAAACTCCTAAACCCGCAGAAACCCCTCATCCTAATTACCCACTCTAATGCACGTTTCCCTGTCGATGTTTCTTCTCCATCGGCCGTCTGGTGGGTAATCGTCAGCGTCGGCTATTCGGAGGTCTCGGACGGCAAGGCTACCTACTCAGGCCTCTTCCCACATCGCTTTCCCACATAGCAGAGTCCTCTCATGCCCATAGGTACCGCCGATAGGTACTCGGTCGGCTGGCAGCTTGCGCCGATTCGCTCCGGGTGGTCCGATCTTCGATCCGATTGATTCCAGCTGTCCCTCATATATCCACCGGTACCAAAACACACCCCTCCGGCGGTTTGACGCTCCGGGGGTTATTATTGGGGTCGAAAACGTGTTTTTTAACTAGGAAAACCGCAACTCCGCATTTGGTCGCATATTGATCGCACCGTACCTCGTAGGTGCGAACCGGAGTTGATAGTGGTGTTACTATTAGTATTAAAGGGTATAAGGGTATCTACTAGCCTTTCTCTCACTCCGTAAATACTTGGCATGCCCGTAACATCCGACATGGGTAGGATTGAAAGAGAGAGTTGAGCAAGGGGAGAAGCTGGGGGAATTGAAGGATATCGCTGAGAAAGACGGGCTACTCTTCTATAAGAACCGACTCTACATTCCGGCAGACGACCGTATTAAGATCCGGATAGCACAGGCAGAGCACGATTCAAAAGGCGCAGGACACTTTGGACAAGACAAGACACTGGAACTCATCACGCGTAACTTCTATTGGCCAAAAATGAACGAGTGGATTGATGACTACGTTCGGTCATGTGACGAGTGCCAGCGCAACAAACCCAGCCGCCACAAGAAATACGGTGCGCTTTTACCACTGTCCACGCCACATTCTGTCTGGCAATCGATATCAATGGACTTTGTCGTACAGTTACCGGAATCAAAGGGATACAATCAAATCTGGGTAGTAGTCGATAGGTTCTCGAAGATGTCGCACTTCATTCCCTTAGTAGCAGAAACGACCGCACAGGATTTAGCGAAGATATTCCTCGGTCAAATATGGCGACTCCATGGGCTGCCTCTCGATATAGTTCCCGACAGGGACGCCAAGTATACTTCAAGTTTTTGGGCATCCCTTATGGAATTGTTGGATGTGAGGATAAGAATGAGTACGGCTTTTCACCCTCAGACCGACGGGCAAACAGAGCGAGTCAACCAAACCCTCGAGCACTACTTACGAGCGTTTTGTAACTACGAGCAAGATGATTGGGCAGAGCTACTCCCGTTGGCGGAGTATGCTTACAACAACTCGGTTACCACCGCCACGGACCAATCTCCGTTCTATACCAATTACGGTTACAACCCAAGAACCAACTGGCCGACGGAAGCCGAAGTGGTCAACCCAACCAGTGACCTATACGCTCACTTCATCCGAGGAGTTCACGACTATGCTCTCGCTCGCCTAACAGACACCAGGGAGAAGATGGGGAAATACTATGATCGGAAAAGGGACGAACCGCCTAACTTCAAGGTGGGAGATATGGTTATGCTCAATGCGACCAACATCAAGACTCATCGCTCTACCAAGAAACTCGATCATAAGAAACTCGGCCCGTTCAAAATTGTCCGACTAGCCGGTAAACGAGCGTGCGAACTGGAACTGCCACTGCAAATCAAAATCCATAACGTGTTCCATATCGAACTCTTGGAACGGTATCGACAGAGCAGTATCCCAGGCCGAGAACAACGTCCCCCAACTCCCGAAGAGGTCGATAAGGAAGGAGAGGTGCTGTACGAAGTGGAAAGTATCGTGGGGAGTCGGAAAAGCAGAAGAGGATTAGTGGAATACCTGGTGAAATGGCGGGGCTATTCGATGAGTGACTGTACGTATCAAGTCATGGACGCTATGGATGAGGAAGTACTTGACCTTGTCCGCGACTTCCATCGAAGGAACCCCAAGGCCGTGAAGGACCAACGCCTGAGACTATAGAGGTACCCTACGGGGCTAAGTCCTTCCGCTCCACAGACACCGCGGGTGATATGTGGAGCAGGTTTACTGGAACCATAGTCTGTCAGAAGATGTCCCGAGACGTGACACCCTGGAAGGGGGGTGAGCTGTTACGGGCATGCCAAGTATTTACGGGAGTGAGAGAAAGGCTAGTAGATACCCCAATACCCTCTGTACGCTAATATCAACTCTTGACCACACTCGCGGAGTGTGGTGCGACCAAATTACGACCAAAAACCCAGAGTCATAAAAAACACGTTTTCGACCCCAATAATAACCCCCGGAGCGTCAAACCGCCGGAGGGGAGTGTTTTGGTACCGGTGGATATATGAGGGACAGCTGGAATCAATCGGATTGAAGATCGGACCGCTCGGAGCGAATCGGCGCAAGCTGCCAGCCGACCGAGTACCTATCGGCGGTACCTGTGGGCATGAGAGGACTCTGCTATGTGGGAAAGCGATGTGGGAAGAGGCCTGAGTAGGTAGCCTTGCCGTCCGAGACCTCCGAATAGCCGACGCTGACGATTATCCACCAGACGGCCGATGGGGAAGAAACATCGACAGGGAAACGTGCATTAGAGTGGATAAAAAGATTGAGGGGTTTTAGCGGCGTTAGGAGTTTGGGTTACGGACTTAGGAGTTAAATGTTCTTAGTTGTTTTTCAGGGTCTCGGGTAGGCCCCGAGTGTATTCTGTATTATTAGTAGACTGGGTCCTCGAGACATAAGCGAGGGATATAAATACTGTGTCATTCACTGACTAGCCAAACCATCATCGGCGAAATCAGAGTCTTAACAATATAAATCGTTGATACGCGAGTTACAACTTTATTTTGACTATACTTTTGGAATTACTTTACTCTATTGTGACTTCGAACTCTACCTGAACTATTACGTCGAAGACGGTCGAACATCACACGCCAACTCTAGTGAATCTTTGTTGATAACGTAGCTCGCGGGGCCCGTATCGGATCAAGGAGAATCATACTCGACGTTGACTGAAGAGACCTCGGAGACTTCTACCTTTGTAGCTGTTAGCCGAACTCTGAGCTCTGCGTAGTGTACTCTTGTGGTCTGGTACGCATCCCTCACAGCCGCCTTGGTGATTAGTTCGCTCCGTGCACAGTTAAGTTGGTGTGCGAGCGCGGTTGTTCGAGACCTAGGCATTATTCGTCATGTGTTGGTCATCTTCGGGAACGGGTGTGGCTCCGACCGGGGCGGTGGCTGGTACTTGGATTATTGGAAGTAGCTCTTGGGCGGGTGCGGCAGGTGGGTCTTGGGCAGGTGAGGCGTTTTCCTTTCCTTTGTTGAGGAATCGGCGTTAGACTCTTTCAGGGCATGCCGGCTCGGAGGCCTTATGGATTCCTTTGCAGTTCAGACATCTGATTGGGGTGTGGGTACATCTATATCCTCCCTGGCATTGATTGCATGGGTGGAAACTGGTGAGGTGATCTCCGGCGCAGTGGCCGCATTTCCCATTGTTCTTACATTTCTCCTGGCGGTGGCCGTATTCGAGGCACTTCGCACACTGGGTATCCGGGAAGGTTGGGAGGAAGGCCTCGATATGGCAGCTTCGGTTGAAGAGAGATAGGAATTTAACTCCTAGTGTTTCTATTGTAATTTGTCCTGGCAGCGCGATGACCATTGATGAGTGGGTTTTCTCCATTCGAGTTTCTGCCCTGGATATCCAGCGGGGAACCTGGGCAAGTTGGAAGTTCTCCCCATAATTGCTTCTGATTTCTGATGCTACTAATTGTCCCGCCTCAATGCCCTCCCCGACCGTTGTGGGGATTCCATGGAGGAGAAACTTTGACCATTTAGAGTTTGCGCGGATGACAGCGACCGGTACCTGTAGGGTGAGGAGAGCCTCCTCAATTTCTTTGGCATATTCCATTGCCTTTGTTGCAGGGGTAACGAATTTTGTTTCCAGGATGAAGTTGTCCTTGGGTGTTCTTCTTGCCGAGATGAAATGGCAGGACTCGTCTTGGATTCTTGCATTGACAAGGGTCCTGATCTCGGAGGGGTTAACGTCGGATGGGGCAGTAGTTTCAACAATGATCTCCCTGTTGATTTTGGTGTACTCTGGTTTGAAGAGGGGGTCCGCTTTTGGCTTTGCGGACTTCTTTTTCCTCTCGATGACCTGGAAGTTTCCTTGGGCAGGACCGGGTGCCGAGGCCACGGCGGCCCAGGTGCCTCCCTTCCATCCATGAGGTGGGGCTTGTTGGGGGGGTGCGGGTGGGGGGGCCTGAGGAGCTGCCTGTGGCGCTGCTTGGGGAACTGTTTGTGGGACCGCTGGAGGGGGCATTCTCTGTCCTTGCGGTTGTTGTGGTTTCGCTGTTGTTGCTGTTGTTGCTGTTGTTGCGGTTGCTGCGGTTGCTGCGGTTGTGGTTGTTTATTGAGGAGCGCATGGATCGCCGAATGCATATTGGTGATCATGTTTGTCTGCGCCTCGATTTGATGTTTCAGTGTATCCACTGTTCTCCGGAGTGTAGTCGTTTGCTCTTCGAGGATTTCAATCCTGTCGGAGGGCGGGCAGATCCGGCTGGTGGCATGTCTGATGGCCCAGGTAATATAGTTCAGGTCTGTCTGGGTGTGAGTGTCCTGAGGGACAGTGCTCGGGTAGAGGTAGTCAATTCTTGGTTGATAGGGGTCATTGTAGTCGGATTCTGTTGCAAAGGTCGAGGAGAATTCCTGTTCCTGAGCTCCGGATGGGGTTGGGTCGGGAACCTGAGTGTTCCTGTTCTGCGAGGGGGCTGTCCCTTGCTGGAAAGACTGAGTGAAAAAGGACTGGAGCGAAGCTTGCTGCGACATAACTGAGTGTCCAGTTCTTCTGGCGGCGTAAAGTGATGTTTCAGATAGGTTTCTTTTCCTTCCCTTTGGGAGGTCAAGGCTGGAGAATTCTTCGCTAGAAGCCAGTTTTCGTGGTGTTTCTTTGGCTAGGAACAACAAACGCGACCGTACGATCGAGGGCGAAGTGGCTCAGCCTGGTATTGTATACCAGGGTAAACCAAGAGGAATAAAATAAAGTGTTTTTGAAGCGAGGTTAATTGTCAGGGAGTTCTTTGCAAGCCTTAGCGAGCAAGTAGAATGCAGAGAGAGAGAGAGAGAGAATCTTATATTGCATAGAAGCTGAAGCTTCTCGCACACCTAACTACCCAACTACAACCTCCACCGACTAACCCGAAAACAAAAACAAAGTACAAAAAACTAACTACCGCAGCTACGAGAACTGCGTACATAATAAAAGAAAAACAGCGCACGAAGAGGGCGCGGATAACAAGTGGTACAGGTAAGCAGAATCTAAGCGATAACAAAGAAACCTTCCCGTAGTAAAATAAGTAAGAACCCCAAACTTCTCCGTCAACTGCATTAGCGAGCACAATCCTAAACGTAGTGTTCAATCGAAACGATATCATTACCAACGTTCCCGGTGTCATATCTGTGGACGAACCTTAACAGGACTGGGAAACCACGCGCACGAAGGCAGGAGAGGCCAACCGCAACAGCGTCAGGTGTGAAAGCGAGGGGGGGTAGATCGAATGTGGGTCCTCGGGCTTCTGGTTGTCAGGCAGCGAGGAATTGAGGAATGGTGACCGGTTGGTCAAGTAAGAAGTGGGTGGGGTCGTCGGTCCCTGGAGCAACGGCTAAAGACTGTGCCCGAGTCGTGTTTGAAGTGGTGTCCTCTGGAGGGGACATGCAAAAAGGGTTGAGCCGAAGGCTCAGTATGTATGGGGGTCGCAATCGAAAGTGCCGACCGTGTTGTGTTGAGGGTGGTCTCGGAGACCGGTTGGGTTGGGGTGAGGGGAGCGGGCCGCCTCGGGTAAAAAGGGTTGCCTGGTTAAGGCCGGTAAGGAGGGGTAAGGTCACGGGACCTCGGGTAAAAGATTTGACGATAGTTTCGCGACCGAGAGGTCGCTAACTTCGCGGGCTGTCGAGCGCTTTGGCAGTAGGTTCTCGCTGACTAGAGATTACTGACAGTGTGCGTACCCGACGTGTGGGATCACTCGTGCGATGAGTGAAAGTAGGGAGGGGCGAAGGCGGCTTTCGAGAGTAGCCGCTGGTTTGGCAAGGGGTGAACGGTGGACGCATCCCGTGAGGGCACCGAACGAACAAAGAATGGGGGGTGTCGAGCGAGGGAAGTTCAGGGACCGAAGCAATTCGAGAATCAGTATAACTCCATCTCGGGGGGAAAGAAATCCTATCGCGAGCCAGAGGCGAGCGAGTAGAATGCAGAAGAAGAAGAAGAAACTTATATTGCTTTGAAGTACAAGACTTATCGCACACCGACCCAACCGCCTAAAACACGAACCGAACCGAACAAAAGAAAGAAAGAAAAACGACAAACACAAACGCAAACAAACAAAAAAACAAGAACAAGAACAAAACAAGCACAAGCGAGCACGAACAATAACAAGGAAAATCCAGAACAACACTTCGACCAGAAAACCCAACGACAAGGAGAAATAACATATCTCAGCGGACTCGAGCGCTGGATCCATCAAATCAAAGAATAAAAACAATTTTAAAGAGTAAAAGGAAACTCCCCTTCCTAATCCCGTTCCCGGTCATTTTCTCCCATCCCCTCTTCCAGGTCCGCCTCCGCCTCCACCGACTCGTACCATTTCGAGAGTTGAGATTGTTTCGCAAATTGTAGGATGAGGTCCGTTCTCAGGTTTGTAAACATCCAGTTTTCCCAGGTCATCGCTCCGGGGATCTTCTCTATCAGAGGGGCGCGGATTCGAGCCCATGCTGGGCATTCCATAAGTATATGTTTCGCTGAGTTTTCCATCCCACACTGACATGGTTCGGGGTCTGTGTGTACTGCGTGTTTGTCGACTCGGGTGGTTTGGCACCGGATCCGAAATACTTTCTTTGCTTCCGTAAGGGTGAGTTTCGCTATCTTGGGAGGGGGGCGGAATTCCCCCCGATGATGGTAGTTCGGTATTGATTGTGTGTTCCATTCTTCCAATAGGTGGTCGCGTAGTAGTTTGTTTTGGTTCCACTTATCTCTCGCATTTCTGGGGGTCTGGTATGGGAGTAGTAAGGAGGCGATTCGGTGTAAGCCTGTTCCTTTGATATTTGCTTCTCTGTATGGGAGGAGCTCGATCAGAGATTCGTTGTTTGGGTGGGTTGCGTCGGTGCAGAGTATTCTAGTTCCGTGCATTCTTGAGCGATATGTCAGGAGATGTTCTAAGGGGGGTAAGCCTGCTTCTCAGAGGAGTTTAGTTCTTTTGGTCCATCGTGGTAGGCCGGTGATGACCCGGGCCGCTTCATTGTATAGTGGTTCGAGGGATCTTATAATGTGGTCTGCGCCAGTCCACCAAGCCTCGGATCCGTAGAGTAGACTTGGGAGGAAGCCTTGTGTTATAATGTGATGGATTGTTTTAACCGTTATTCCTGGCAGGCGGGCGGTGTATCGAATCTGGTGGAGGGCTTTAAGGCCTTTTGCGATCGCTGCTTCAATGTGGGGCCGGAAGGAGAGGGTCGGATCTATCCAGACTCCTACATATTTCAACCTCTCCTTGGGGTGTATGTTGGTATTGTTAATTTTGACCGAAAGTCGTGGTTGTTGTGTGGATGATGTAGTGGGCCGGAAGAAGATCAGGTCGGATTTATCCGGGTCGTACTTGATTTGGAGTGGCTCAGCTTTTATTAGTCTCTCTCTCATTCGTTCCTCCATTCTCTTGATTGTGAAGCCTGGTGTTTTGGATATTTGCACCAGTGCATCGTCGTCGATATATATGGTGTCCATCTCTTTCGGGCTACTTGTTGGGTCCAGGATTACTCCAGCATAGATCATGAATAGTACCGGGGACATGGGGCTACCTTGCGGCACTCCAGAATCATAAGGCTGTGGTTCCTCTAGCTCATGGTTGAATTGGAACTGTAGTTTTCTGCCGGTGTTGAATTCCTTGCACCATTCTGTCAGATAGGTGGGGAATTTTTGTTGGTGCATGATTTCCGCGAGGAGTAGGTGATCGACACAATTGAATGCTCCTTGGATGTCATTGGTTAGGATCGCTGGTCTATCTCGCCGAGCGACTCCGGTACTGTTTTTCAGTAGTAGGTTTTGTTGTATTGGTGTCAAGGTTCTCAGGAGGGCGTCGATTGCCGAGATGGTTGGTCTTCCTCCAAATTGATTCGCTGAGAGTGTGCCTAGAATTTCTCCAGCGGTGCATAGTCTTTGGGCCACTATCTTCTCCAGGATTTTGCTGAAACATTGTAGAAGGGAAATGGGCCGGTAGGCTTTCGCTTCATGGTAGTTTGCTTTACCGGGTTTCGGGATCGGGATACACTTAGCTATTTTCCATTCCGCTGGGTGTACACCGTGCCGGAGCATGGCGGAGAACATGTCTTGGATTAGAGTTGTATTTGCTCTGACTATTGCTTTAATAAAGGTATAAGGGATGCCATCCGGGCCGGTCGCCGAGTGCACTGGACAGGAGTCGATTGCTTTATTAAGTTCTTCGGGGGTGACTATGTCGAAAGTGTTGCTAAGGTCAAAAGAAGGGGGTCTGATGTTTAGGGGGGGATGGTCGGGGGACGTCCGTTTCGAGGGGAAAAGTTGGGCTCTTAAAGCTTGACACTTCCCCGCGAATGTTTCTTCACCTTGTATGGTTGGTATGATTGTGTCTCTTCTCCTTCCTGCGTTTAGGATTCTCCAGACTTCACTACCTTTCGCCTCGTTCATCGTCTTTTCCCGTTGGTCCGCTTTTGCTTTCCGGATCATGACTGTCCATTCTCTGCAAGCCTTCCGGTGCTCCTCCACGTGATTGGGTTTCCTTGTGTTTCTCGACTTCCTTTCTGCTGCATTTACCCTTGCCTTCATTTGTTTCATTTCATCTGACCACCAGAAGTTGGCTCTTACCCCCTCCTTCGATACTGGTGTTACTATGCTGACTGTTGACCTGACCAGTTCTAGGAAGAAATCGACAGTTTGTTCTGTATGTTCCTTGGTTTCCCATGCCTCTGCAGGGATGGAAATGTTTGACATGTGGTTCTCCAATAGCTTCCAGTCCGTTTGTCGCCACATTCGTCTTGGTACAAAAGGTGGTTTTTCCAGGTGTAGGTGAACGGAGGTTCTCCCGTGGTCTGAGCCCGCTCCGTAGGGTTCAGTGCTCCATCGTAGGTTGTGGTCAAGTGTTGGGCCTTTTACGAATGCAAGGTCGATGGTTGTGGGCCTTTTCCCTCTGTCTCTGGGGAAATGTGTAAAACGCCTGGTTCGTTCAGGAGGGTCAATTTCTGTCGGGTTATCCATCGTTTTA